ACTGAAGATTAAACATTGATTTGATAATGTGTTTGTTGTTGATTACCTTGGCACAAGTCGTAGCAGTGAAGCAGTAGGGATGAAAGCTTGGTTGGAAGAGGCTTTAGAGAAAAATTAAGGTCAGAGAATACAGGTAACACTTTTTAAAGAGCTTTGCTATAAAGAATAGAAATTGGAAAACAGGAGAAGGAATGTGGACGTAAAGGGAGTCTTTCTTTTTATTTTTTAAGATGGGCGCTATTATGTTTATATTCTGATAGGATTGATACCTTAAATGAGAAAAAAATAATGAAGCATACTATAGACAGGAAAATGCTCAAGACAAGCCTAGGGCTCAGTAAGAGGTGTTGCCTTGATAGGACAAACATTATTCTACAGTAACAGGAGGAGGCATGGAATATAGGAAGAGAGAGAAAATAGTTTGAGGGATGTGCTGGGAAGTTCTCTGATAATTGTTTCTATTTTCTCAGTCCAACAGGAAGCACATTTATCAGCCAAGGTTAAGGCTGAGGCGGGTAGGGGTTGGAGGCTTTAGGAGAGAAGAGAGGTTTAAAACAACTCTTCATATAGTGGGAGAGTGACTAGCTTAGCATGATATAGTAGGAGTTCCTTATGATATTTAGGACCCACTTGAAGTTGCTTTCTGGTTCCAATCCAAATATGACAACTCCATATTTGTGGGCAAGTCATTTAATTCTCAGGGGAGCTAATGAGCTTATATGCAATCATTCATGTACAAATAAATTGCATTCTTTGGGAATTTCCATATAAATCCAAGCTGTAATGTTTTTAGTGCTTACCACTTTCTGTTGTTGTTGTTATATGCCATTGAGTTGGCCCCGACTCATAGCTACCCCTCCTTGAGTTTCTGAGGCAGTATCACTATGAAAGTAGATTGCCCAACCTTCCTTCTGTGGAGTGGCTAGTGGGTTTGAACAGCCAGCCTTCCGGTTAGCAGTCAAGTGCCTTGGGCACTATGCTACCAGAGCTCTTTCTACAGAGGTTTAGTAATCTGTACCATAATCTGATTGATGGCATATTCTCTCCTATTTAACACTTTTAAGCCTCTGTATAATTCTTTCTACAATTTTAACATGTCTTGGTTACCTCTAGTTCTTTCTTCAACTATTTCAAATAATAATAACAAAATGGTTGTGATATTAAAGAATAAGGCCCACTGCTCTCAATTAAAATGCACAGTTCTAATAGGAAATGTTTGTCATTTTTTTTTAAGCTTCATAACCATTTCTTCAAATGAAATCTATGAATGCTCAAAGTAGGTATGACAGTGTCATGTCATTCGATGCATCCCAGTTTCAGACCAGGTAAAATCTGAGACAGCTGGGTTAGATGGGGCAGGGACTGGTGGATGAGTACTAAAGCTTTGCTTGTTTGACCTTAATCCACTTGATTCTACTCTGGTTATTCCAGAGGTACCAGAACTACAGAATTTCCAGTTTGAGAATTTCTCCTAAGCAGAGTTATACTATTTATAATATTGTATAACCTTTGCTGTGTCACATCCATAATACCTTTAGTTATCTTACCAAAAAACAAAACAAAACCCTCAATTCAAACTCATAGTGATTCTATAGGACAGACTAGAACTGCCCAAAAGTTTTCTGAGGCTCTGATGTCACTGTGGTGAAAACATTGGACTGCTAACCAAAAGGTCAGCAGTTAAAAGCTACCAGCCACTCTGCAGGAGAAAGATGATGCAGTCTGCTTCTGTAAAGGTTTACAGCCTTGGAAACCCTACGGGGCAATTCTACTCTGTCCTATAGGGTCACTATGCGTTAGCATCAACTTGATGGCAGTAGTTTCAGTTTTGGTTTTGGTAATCTTTACAGAAACAAACTGCCACATCTTTCTTCCACAGAGCTGCTGGTGGATTTAGATGGTCAACTTTATAATTAGCAGCTGAGCATTTAACCACTGTGCCACCAGGGCTCCTTTTAGTTATCTTTTGGGGTGTATATTAATTTCTTTAGTTTGTACAAAAACAATAATAATTTTATTTCATTTTTAAATGGACCTTAAACTGACTAACACAGACCCATGTTAGACTACTGGGCTTGCCACCAGAGAAAGTACTCACTCTTTCTCTTTCATCAGAAACTAACACAATCCTGAAAAGTTTTCACCAAACAAAGGTCTGGAGATAATCCATGACCTGAATAAGATATCTAACAGTTATCTCTTTCTCTGAAACCACTTATATCCCCAACTATCAGGAAACTGAGGCAATTTTTGTGCGTGGATGAAAGGCACCAGAATGTAGTCAAGACTTGTCAATCCAAGAAGGATAGGAATATTAAAAATCTGAAAATTGCCAAAACATGAATGAAATCCTATGGTTTCTGGAACTATTGAGAAGCAGAGTGTGGTAAAATAAAACAGGAGGGGATTCTATTTATAAAAAAATGACTCAAAATTACTTGTTTAAGGTCCTGATAAAACAAGAAACATTCAGCAGTAATCACTTCCAAAGTGTAAAGTTTCCATAATTGTTTCATCCTTCAATCACAGAAACTTTGAAGAGGCTTGATAGTTATATTTAGTTGTTAGAGTGAAACACAGAAAGATGAAGAATTGCCTAACCAAGTAGAATGCAGACTGTTTTGAGCTTTAGTAATCAGAATCAACACCTCAAATTATACTCAGAAGTCAAATAGGTAGTCAGTGATGAGGAGAGCACAGATGTTCCTAACTTTGTCTGTCCAATTCCCCTAAGCAGATGGGCAATAAAAAGTCTGTGCATGCAGTAGGGAAGCATCAAAACCTCTACATAGTCACAACATAAACTAAAAGTTACAGCATATCAGAGGCTCCAAATCGATGGATTTGGTGTTGCCATCGATAAAGGAAGAACAGCTTGAACAGAAGGCAATGCTAGTAATCATATTCTGTGAAGATTGCTGACACTTTTAGTCCAAGGAAAGCAATGTGCTAAATACATCATCATTAAAGTCAAGAAATATTTATCATGCTTAACATGAGGTGAGGTAAGTATATTCTTATTATCTCATTTTTTACAGCCTGACAGTTACTTTGAGTGCAGATCCTTTTAGTTTTATTTTATTGGGAGATACATAAAAGTTATCTAAGTTCTCATATTTGCTTGTTGGGAGAATTAAGATCAATTGCAATGCTATTCTTAGAGTGGGATGGCTGAGAAATCTTCAGGTTAAGAAATTGCCATAGGATTTCATTCATGTTTTGTCAATTTTCAGATTTATAATATTCCTATCCTTCTTGGATTGACAAGTCTTGACTACATTCTGGTGCCTTTCATCCACGCACAAAAATTGCCTCAGTTTCCTGATAGTTGGGGATATAAGTGGTTTCAGAGAAAGAGATAACTGTTAGATATCTTATTCAGGTCATGGATTATCTCCAGACCTTTGTTTGGTGAAAACTTTTCAGGATTGTGTTAGTTTCTGATGAAAGAGAAAGAGTGAGTACTTTCTCTGGTGGCAAGCCCAGTAGTCTAACATTGGTTTGTGTTAGTCAGTTTAAGGGCCATTTTCATAACACAGTGATTTGACTGTGATACAGTGGGAAGAGTCCCTGGGTGGTGCAAACATCAATGTGCTTAGCTGCTAATTGAAGTTTGGAGGTTCAAATCTACCCAGAATTGCCTCAAAAGAGAAAAGAGAAGCCTGGCATTTCCTAATTTTTGATGATTTTTTTTTTTTTTTTTTGTCAATACTCATTGAAGTAATGTACCTGTATATTTTCTACTTCTGAAATATCAGCCATTGAAAACCCTTTGTAGCATCGTTCTACCCTGACACACGTGAATTGCCATGAGTTGAAATTGATTTGACAGCAACTGATTCTATATATCTGGCACAGTATATATGTTTTAAATACATGGATTCAGTGTGAGATTATGGACTCTGACAGTCGTGGCTCCATCACTAATCTGCTGATTGTGACTTTGAGCAAGTCATGGAACACTTTAAGCCTTAGTTTTCTCATATGTGAAATGGTTATGATAACTCTGAATTTGTTGGTCTATGGGGTAATGAAACTGTAAGATAATGTATATAAAGCACCTAGCAAAGAGCTTGGTACAGAGTAAGTGCTCAGTAATCTTACCATTATCATGATCATCATTTTTATTAATGTAATTATTATTATTGGAAATCTTATTTTGATTTTAATTTATGAGGAAAGAAGCTATAGAAGAAAATATATCCACATTTATTTTTATTATGACTAATTTAAAATTATTTTTCCTATTATAATGTAATATATTTAGACCATCAAGTTGGTTCCCCAAATTTGACTTTGAATAACTCTCTATGACCTCTAAAAATCATTGCCATGTTCAAAGAACAAAAGTTTATCAACAGCAAAATCCATCATACAAATGTACTACAGGCTTTCAAAGGCCATTCTAAACTCAATAATGGCAGTTCTATTAAAATAAGAGTGCAGGCTCCTGAGGTGTTTTTTTGCTTAAAGGGCACAACATTTGACTGTATATGTTTCTTAAAAATCAATCATATTTATTTAGAGTCAACCTTGTATTAAGTCATTTTTTTTAACTGTTGTTGTGTTCTTACAACAGTATGTTACCAAAGATTGAAAGGCATCTTTGTTCTTCTGATTATTTTAATCTCAGCTTTCCTGCATTTGTAAATCTGAATACTTTTTGATCATATGTTTTCATTTCAGGACTTGAATGATGCGTATATTAAACTCTGATATACTTGAAAGCACAAATTTTAGTTTAAGGCTATATTTCTTAGCTGTTGAGTTGTTTTCTTGTTTATTATTATGGGTAAGATTATTAAGATTTTGTTGTCTTCACTTAAAAGATTTTAGTATCAATAGAGAGAAAATAGTTTATTTTTAATTAACCTATGTGTACCATCATAAAACTATTTCTCATAACATTTCGTACTAGAATTAGATATGTGATTTTAAAAGCTTTGAGGTTCCACAGTGTATAAAGGTTAATCAACACTTCATGCTAATATTTTCCATAGGTGCATTATTGCAATGGGGCTTGACAAAAAAACATCTTCATCCAAAACTAGGAAAGAAAATGCTGAGAAAAGAGAGGAATTGAAGAAGAGTAAAGGGAAGCTGAGGAAGGATGAAAAGTACATGATACCAAGAAGAAATGAGATAGAGAGAAACAGAACCTTAGTCTCAGCCATTTTTTCAGCTCAAGAGGAAGAAATGGGGGTTAAAGAAGTGAGAACTGCTATGGAAGAAATGGAAAGAAAAGGAAAACCAGGACAAGATATTTGGGAAGATGACCAGGAAAATACATTTAAATATGGTAATTAGTAACACAGAGTTATTTTGTTGTTGCTGCTTTATTTTTAAAATATGATTACCAAAATTTGCAAAAAAAAAAAAAAAATTATTAACTATTGTTACTTGGTCCTGGTCTTAAGCCACTCTGTCATGTGTGAGATATCTCTGATATCCTCCCTCCGCTGTTTTGCATAGAGTCCTCGATTTTCCGCTTTAGAGGGCAGGCCTGACCCAGAAAAGTTAAGTGTGCTTGTGTCAGAGTGGACAGGAAAGAAAAGAGGGAGGTTTCAGAGGCTCTGATGGCTTCTGCATGCCGTTTTGATCAAATGGAATTTTGCTTATTTTTTTTTTTAGTTTTTGAAAGTACTTGCTTTGCAAAACATGAATTGTTTGGCACAATATAGTTAATACCTAAGAGTATATGCTGATTAATTATTCTATAACTGAAAACAGTAAATGTAGATTTGGGAGCCTGGAGCCTCCCAGTCTGCTTCTCTTGCTTTCCTGTTCATCTTTCCCCTTCCCATCCTTTCCCTTCCCTTCCCTCCACTTCCCTTTTCCTCCTCTCCCCTTCCTCTACCCTTCTCCCTCCATCTATTCACCCATCCATCCATCCTAGTATGTATTTATACAGTCATTCATGCACACATACACACTCACACAGAAAATATTATTTGATAGTAAAGATACTCACTGCCATTGAGTTGATTCTGACTCATAGGGATCACCTTTGGGTTTCCAAGACAGTAGTAAATCTCTACAGAAATAGATTGCCCAGTCTTCCTTCCACAGAGTGGCTGGTGGGTTTGAACTGCCAACCTTCTAGTATTAGTGCCAATCTTCATAGTGCCCTAGGCACTATGCCACCAGAGCAACAAGAATAAAAGCACTAGTCACTGAGTGCTATGCCAGTCACTGAGCACTCTGCCAGACACTTACTACATGCTAGCCCATTTTATCTTCACCACCTCACATCACAGCATTATTTCAACCTTCATTTGCCAGACTGGGAAACTGAGGCTCAAAGAACCTACAGTATTCAATGCCACGGAGAGAAAGTAGCAGAACTAGAATTCCGATCTGAACTATTCTGACTTCACAAGAGGGCAGGAGGGTCACCATCAGCATCAGCTAATTCCTATGAGATGGAGGTCAAACAAACCTCCACTTGCCAAACTTTTTACCAGTTCTGACACCAACTGTCCTTCCTATGGTACTCTCTACTTCTCTGCTGGGTTTAATTCATTGTAACGGCCACACAGAACTCACAGAGAATAATCACAATTATGAGGTTGTTAGGAAAGTATCAGGTTACAACTCATGCTCAGAAATGACTCAGGATATAGTTCTTCCATAAGGACAGCCTCTTCTTGGCAGTGCTCACACGCATATCTCTCTCTGGCCGTTGGCCTCTCAGCCTCAGAGTCCCTTGGACTCTGCCCTGTTCAGGCAAGTGTTACAAAGTTCTTTTAGTGCTGCTGGTAATGCTCAGAGGCACTCCACTCCTCCAGTAAACCTCAGCCTGAAGACACTGAACACTAGCTCCATGGCTCAGCAAACTTAGCTCCACCTAGTGCCCAGAGACACCCCATTCTGCCAACAAGCCTCCTGAAAGGCACTCAGCTTCCTCTCTTCATTAGTCCAGAAGCTTACTTCACTGTCTCATACCATCTCTTGGTTCTGCTGCTGCCATTTCTCTGGTGTCACATCTCACTGTCTCTTGCTAACTCTGGGGTAAAGGCTTTCTATCTCCTAGATATAGGAGACTCCTAGCACAAGGATCTTGAGTCCAAAGGACATGTTCTGCTCCCATCTCTTCTTCTAGGTGATAGTCAGATCCCTCCTTCTTTTCTGCCTCTGGGATTGCTCACTTTAAGCCTAGCAGGATGGCAAAACTGACCAATCACCACATAAGCATTCCATGCACCCTTTTGTCATGGTCCCACCACCATAAGGGTACCATACTAGTTATTTACATTATTAGCAAGATATCTATAACCTTGGTGGGCCACAAGCACCACACTTGAATAGTTGCACAAAGTCATTTGAAGAGATCATGAAGCCCATGGCTAGAAGGGTCATCATACAATCAAATCACTGAAACACAACAGTCAAGGCAGACCTAAAGTACATGTTTTGAGAGAAAACCCAGAATCTCCTGCCACACAGGATGCAGGGACTATTCTTGTTCATTATATGCTCATTTAATTTTATGCTCTGTTTCTAAATGTAACTTTAATTGTATCCTAATTGTGGACACTTGTACTTCTCTGATTTTAATCAGGTACCTCCATTAAAGCTTACTGCAATCAACGGAGCACATATTTATGTATATTTTCTCCTGTCCTATGATCAACCCCCTCCACCTCTCAACCAGTTACTGTTACTACTAATCTCTAATATTTATTAGGGGTCTACTGTTTCTGGCACTGTTTTAAGTATGTTCCAGGATTATAGTTTTTAATAATCAACCACAGCTTTGTAAATCAGGTACCACCTATGTTACAGATGAAAAAACTAAAGATTAAAGATGTTAGAGAGTTGCTCAGTTAGAAAGTGTTTTAACTGTGACTTGGGCTCATGTCTACTAAACCCAAAGACCTCATACTTCACCACTATATACTACTATTGATGGAATTGCACTAATTCACTCATGCGCCATATGATTCCCTATTTATTTTGTGACCAGTAGCAAATGTCCATGAAGTGGTATAGAGGAGTGTGTGCCTCTGTGTCTGTATTCTATGGATAACCTCCACTCCTACTTTATAAAGCCTTCCACGATTTCTTAAAATGAGTTTTCAATCTTCCTTTGATTCCATCCCACTTATTTGGTACTGCCTCATACAATTATTTATGTGTCTTATATAAAAATCCATAGAATAGGGTTTAGTGGTTGTTGAAACTAATATTACTGACGAACATGCATAAACATCTCTTGTGTACCTATATCACATTCCCCCAACAATTAGAAACTCTGTTGGCAGGAGTTATGTTACTATAATAGCTTTTCTTTTGCAATTTTATCCTATTTCACAGAGTTTTCTAAACAAAGGTTTATTTTTGGCCAGTCACATAGGCCAAAAGAGGAACTATCCTATAACCTGACCTGCAATACTTAGGTCACAATATTTCTATATTTACAATTTCATGCTTGTCTCATGCAATATAAACCAAATTATTCATCTTCTTGTTTATTTTATAATTATATTCTGCTGGTAGTTATAAGGAGACATCAAGGACATCATACATGAAGAAAACAAAAGATCATTTAAAAGACAGGAAAGAAAAGACCAAAATGGACATCAGAAGAGACTCTAACACTTCCTCTTGAATGTAGAGTTGATGAAGTGAACTGAAGAAATGATGAAATAAAAGAGCTATACTAAAGATTTCAAAGGGAAGCATGAGAAAACAAAGTATTATAATGAAATTTGCAAAGAACTGAAGTCAGAAAATCAGAAGAGAAGAACATGCTTGGCATTTATCAAGCTGAAAGACCTAAAGAAAAAAATCAAGTATCAAGTTGCAATATTGATGGATTCTATGGGCAAAACATTAAACAATGCAAAAAACACCTAAAGAAGATGGAAGGAATACAAAGAGTCACTGTACCAAAAAGAATTGGTCAGCATTCAACCATTTCAGAAGGTAGCATATGATAAAGAACTGATGGTGTTGAAGGAAGAAATACAGGCTTCACTGAAGACAATGGGGAGAAACAAGGCTCCAGGAATTGACAGAACATCAATCCAGATGTTTCAACAACCAGATGAAACTCTGGAAGAACTCACTCATCTATGCCAAGAAATTTGGAAGACAGCTACCTGGCCATCCAACCAGAAGAACCCATATTTGTGCTCATTCCAAAGAAAGGTGGTTCTACAGAATGTGTAAAATATTGAAAAATATTATTAACATCATGTTGTTGTTGTTGTTATGTGCTGTCGAGTCGGCCCCGACTCATAGCGACCCCTCCTTGGGTTTCCGAGGCAGTATCACTATGGAAGTAGGATTGCCCAACCTTCCTTCCAATGAGTGGCTGGTGGGTTTGAACAGCCAGCCGTCTGGTTAGCAGGCAAGTGTCTTAGCCACTATGCTACCAGAGCTCCTCATACACAAGTAAAATTTCCTGACAAAATTCAAAAAGAGTTGCAGCAGTACTTCAACAGGAAACTGTCAGAAATTCAAGCCAGATTCAAAGGGGATGTGGAGTGAGGGATATCATTGCTGATATCAGATATATCTTGGGTGAAAATACAGTACGAGAGAGATGTTCACCTATGTTTTATTGACTACGCGAAGGTATGTAGATCATAAGAAATTATGGATAACATTATGAAGAATGGGATTTTCAGAATGATTAATTGTGCTGGTACAGAACCTGTATATAGACCAAGAGGGTGTCCTTTAAGCAAAACAAGGGAATAGCACATAGTTAAAATCAGGAAAGATGTGCATCAGTGTTGTATCCTGTCACCATACTTATTCAATCTGGGTCCTGTGCAACTAATCTGAGAAGCAGGACTATGAAGAAGAATGTGGCATAAGGATTGGAAGAAGACTTATTAACAAGTTTTGATATGCAGATGACACATCCTTGCTTATTAAAAGTGAAGAGGACTTGAAGCACTTACTGGTGAAGATAAATGACTGTAGTCTTCAGTATGGATTTTACCTTCACATAAAGAAAAAGAATATCCTCACAAGTGGACAAATAAGCAACATCATGATAAATGGAGAAAAGATTGAAGTTGTCAAGGATTTCATTTTACTTGGATCCACAGTCAATGACCATGACAGGAGTCAAGAAATCAAATGACATGTTACACTGAGCAAACCTGTTACAAAAGACCTCTTTTAAAAATGTTAAAGAGCAAAGATGTCATCTTGAACACTAAGGTGTGCCTGACCCAAGACATGATTTTTTCATTTGCCCTATATTCACAGAAAAGGTGGACAAAGAATAAGGAAGATGGAAGGAGAACTGATACATTTAGATTAGGTGTTGGTGAGGGATATTAATATACCATGGACGACCAGAAGAATGAACAAATCTGTCTTGGAAGAAGTACAGCCAGCATGCTCCTTAGAAGAGAGGATGGTGTGATTTCCTGTCTCATACTTTGTTCATGTTATCAGGAGGAACAATTCCCTGGAGAAGAATATCATGCTTGATAAAATAGAGGGTCAGTGTAAAAGAGGAAAATGTTCAACGAGATGGATAGACACAGTGTATGCAACAACAGGTTCATGCATATCAACAATTGTGAGGATGGCCAGGACGGAGCAGTGTTTTGTTCTGTTGTATATAGGGTAGATATGAGTCAGAACCTACCCATGGGCACCTAACAACAGCAAGTTTACTGATACTAATTCACATTTCTTGCTCCCCATCTTAGCTCCCATCAAAATACTCTGGTGATGACTTCTCTATGTTTGCTTTTCTTCATTATAGTTTTTAATTTTACTTTTCCTCTTATATTTTTCTCATACACTCTTTGCTTTAAAGAAGCTTTTTTTTTTTTTTTTTTAATATACCTGGCATGCATTTAAGTTAAGTTTATTTCATTTAACAAGGTGGACAGCTCTCAAGTAATTACCCAAGAGGTCCCCACCACTAGAAAAGAAGCCAGAATATGTAATAATCAAACACAAAAAATAGGAAAACCTTTATTTTCCCTGTAATTTTTATTTTAAAGATGAGTATTTACTTGCCTAATTGGTTCTGCATGAGATCATTTTGCTCTCTATTCTTGCCATGTTGTCACTTCAAGATTTTTCATTTTTTGTGGAAAGAAAAAGAGGAACAATTAAATATGAAAGGTGAAAAATTATAACCACAAGGGACAGCTGTAGTTTATCTGATGTGACAATTTCCTTTTTCTGCTACAGATTTGTTGCATCTCTATAGGGAATGCAGTTAATTAATGGCCATGACAGGAATATTGCATTTTCTAAGAATTTTTATCTTGGAATGCAATTATTTCATTATTATAGGAATGAATAATGCATATGATTTCAGCTCTGGTCTAGGTATAGAATTCTGAATGCCTTTTCTTGATGTCCACTTGGTTCTCAAAGAATGTGTTATTCACAGTGTTACTTCTCAGGCCCTTGAGCTTGATTAATTGAATTTTTTCACTTCACTATTCATTAACTTGATATCCAAATATTTTGAACATTCCTCATATGAGATATGACCTCGCTGGGTCTTCAAATTAACTTTCATTATTATAATCCTGTTCTCGTCATTTTAAATTTATTGCTAATTTATTGTTTTCTATCAAGTTCTTCTCTTGTCCATTTTTGTCATTATAGATGAGGATGTTCATTTATAAATGAACTTTTATTAGGTTTCAGCCTTGTCATTTGGAGCTTCATTTCTTTTGTGCTTTTGTATATGTAACTGATTGCAATCTTTGATCATTTGCTGCTAGTTTTCCATGTTCACTAATTGTGTGAAAAATAAGCGAAGAAAGGCCCAGAGAAGAGAGGATAATGGAGTCAAAGTTCTCATTAAAATGAAATGGGTCAAGTATTAGGGATTCTATTTTCATTCTCATACGGGAGATTTTCTTTTATCAGAATACGAAGAAGATTTTGAAGTAGATGAGGAGAAACAAGATGAGAAAACTAATGAAGAAGGACAGGCTGATGATCAAATGAATGGAATGTCAAAGTCACCCTCAGATGATGAAAAAGACAATTTAGACCCTGAAAAGGAGAGTGAAACCTCATCACAGAAGGCACCAGATGCTGATGACAATGTGAAAGATGAAAGTGATGGACGCTCTGTCACTGAATTGGAAGAAGATAAACAAGGCAAGTTGTTTAGCTTCTCATAGGACACTGTTTAGTGAGTGTATTTATTACTTTTCATTCTATTTAATGAGATAATCCATTTTTAAGGGCATGTTTAGGGCAGCGTTCCCTAACTGTAGAATGCTGACCAATCAACCTTCCATATATATCCAAATACTGAAATCACTTGATACTATCATTTTTTTTCTTGAGTTTCTTGGGTTTTTTTTTAGCAGGGTGTCCGTAAAGCTTATAATGATACTTCTGTTTACTTAAAAAGTTACCTTTTTTTTTAAAACCCCAAAATGTTCCTTTATACACATGTACACACTCATTTCATGGCTTTGGAAAAATGAAAACTGTATCTTAATCAATTAAAAGTTGGCCTTATGTTCATTTTTTGAAAGTTACCTTCAACACAGCAAGCTGCCGTGTTAATTTCATAAAAGAATAATTTCTCTTGATAAAGGGGAGGGGCTTCCTCACAGTTTTCAAGTCTGAAATGACACTGAATATTCACAGGAAAAATGCAGAGCTTTACGGGGAGAAAGTAACCCTGTCCATTGAAAGGAAGAAACCATTTGCTGCTCTGTCTTGTCAGAAAGTTTGGCCAAGCAGTTCCTAGTTAATTAAGCATCTCTCCTAGTACATCCTGGGCATTGATCTGTACTAAAAATAGCCGGTCCTTATACGTTACTATTGGTATAGCTTTGTAGTTTATTTCTGAGTATATTATGAGGTCACAATGTGATGGTTTTTTGAGTATTTACTCCTCTCAATATTTTTCTGTAGAAAATTTTAAAAAAATGAATTTGATGATTTTATGACAAAAATATAAAATAAGAGTGAACTAAGTTATCAAGTAATCACAACAGGAAATATTTATAGTTCTATTCTAATAAAAAAATCAGGTAAACCCATTCTAAAATGTCATCTGCATATGAACAAGGTAATTTTTAAAAACCTAAAATATTTAGGGTTGCAGAGGAGATAATTTTACAAAGAACCAGAGATGGGACAATCTTCAACTCAAAATTTAATCCTGAGCTTCCTGATAGTCAAGATAAAGACTGAAATATTCGAATGATGCTAATTATCAATAAATTTGAAAACATGATGCTATCCTTTCTATTGTTGAAAAAGATATTAAAGATTAATGTTCAGGCATTGAAATATATTTTTTAAACTCTTACAAAAGTCCTTCTCTATAATTTGTCTCAATACTTAAATTTTGCTATTTTAGACTAGACATTTGTAATATATAAATTCCTTTCTCAATTTCAATGGAATATTGGATTTATGTTTATATACTTATATGACAGAAAAAGTCAAATAATTTTATGGAAAAGTGATTTCAGCTGAGTCAATAATTATAAAGGAAATGTAAAAGTGAATTAAACCAGGAAACTGAGTTAAAACAGTTTTAGCAGATAAATGTAAGTGGCTTAAAATCTAAAAGACTCTTATTTATTTCTTCAGTTATGGGGAATTGTTACATTACTGATTTCATAAAACTCAGTACATATTTTGGATAGATTCTTGTTTGGGAATTAATTTTGTGCTTCATAATCACCTTACTTTCTTGGGTTAAATGGATTTTTCTTTTCCTAAAATACACTGTGTTCTATGTTCAAACGGAGAAGGATGTAGGCAGTACATGGATATACCTTGAAGGGAAAGCTTTAATTATTTAGACCACTAATTTTTGAATGATTGACAGAGACAGACAAGCTTCAACATTGAAAACTATTTACATATGTTGTTGTTAGTTGACATCAAATCACCTCTGACTCAAAGCAACTCTATGTACAACAGAATGAAACACTGCCTGGTCTTGTGCCATCCTTACAATTCTTTCTATACTTGAGCCAATCATTGCAGCTACTGTCAGTCCACCTCCTTAAAAGTTTTCCTCTTTTTTGCTGACCCTCTAGTTTACCAGCATGATATCCTTCTCCAGGGATTGGTCCCTTCTGACCACATAACCAAAGTAGGTGAGACAAAGTCTGACCATTCTTGCTTCTAAGAAGCATTCTGGATGCATTTCTTCCAAGACAGATGTGTTCATTCTTCTGGAACTCCAAGGTATTTTCATAATTCCTCACCAGTACCACAATTCAAAGGCATCAACTTTCTGTTTGGTCTTCCTTGTTCACTGACCAGCTTTCATGTCCATGTGAGGCAATTGAGAATACCATGGCTTGGATCAGGCACACCTTAGTCTTCAAAGTAACATCTTTGCTCCTTAACACTTTAAAGAGGTCTTTTGCAATAGATATGCCCAGTGTAATAGGATGTTGGATTTCTTGACTGCTGCATCCATGGGTGTTGATTGTTGATCCAAGTAAAATGAAATCCCTGACAACTTCAGTCTTTTCTTCATTTATTGTATGTTGCTTATTGGTCCATTCGTGAGGATTTTTGTTTTCTTTATGTGGAAGTAAAATCCATACTGAAGGCAGCTGTCTCTGATCTTCAGCAGTAAATGTTTCAAGTCATTTTCACTTTTGGCAAGCAAGGTTGTGTCATCTGCATATTGCAAGTTGTTAATGAATTTTCCCCCAGTCCTGAGGCCATGTTCTTTTTCACATAGTCTCACTTCTCAGTTTATTTGTTCAGCATACAGATTAAGTATGGTGAAAGAATACAACCTTGATACACACATTTCCTAATTTTACACCATGCAGTATCCTCATGTTCTGTTTGAACAACAGCCTCTTTGTCTATGTTACAGATTCCACATGAGCACAATTAAGTGTCATGGAATTCCCATTCTTTGCAATGTTATCCATATTTTGTTATGGTGCACACAGCTGAGTGCTTTGTTTAGTCAATAAAACATAGGTAAACATCTTTCTGGTATTCTTTCCTTTCAGCCAAAATCATCTGACATCAGCCAAGATATCCCTTATTCCACGTCCTCTTCTGAATCCAGCTTGTATTTCTGGCAGTTCCCTGTCAATATACTGCTGCAACCATTTTTGAAATTACATTCAGCAAAATTTTACTTGCATGTGATATTAATGATGTCATGTTGTTTGATAATTTCTACATTCTGTTAGATCACTTTTCTTTGGAATGGACACAAATATTGATCTCTTCCACTTGGTTGGCTGGGTACTTGTCTTCCAAATTTCTTGGCATAAACAAGTAAGCTCCTCCAGCACTGCATCTGTTTCTTGAAACATTTCAATGGGTATTCTGTCATTTCCTGGAGACTTGCTTTTTGTCAATTCCTTCAGTTCAATTCAATTGGACTTCTTCCCTCATTACCACTGGTTCTTGATCATATGCTACCTCATGAAACGGTTGAACATGGACCAATTTTTTTGGTACAGTGAATCTGTGTATTCTTTGCATTTTCTTTTGATGCTTCCTTCATCATTCAGTATTTTGCCCATAAAATCCTTAAATATTGCAACTTGATGCTTGATTTTTTCCATCAGCTCTTTCAGCTTGAGAAATGCTGAATGTGGTCTTTCCTTTTGGTTTTCTAACTCTAGGTCTTTGATCATTTAATTATACTAATTTGCTTTTTCTTCTCAAGCTGCCCTTTGATATTTTCTGTTCAGTTCTTTTATTTCAGCATTTCTTGCACTTGCTGTGGTTACTCTGTGTTCAAGAGCATGTTTCAAAGTCTCTTCTGACATCCATTTTGGGCTTGTCTTCATTTCCTGTCTTTTTAATGACCATTTGCTTTCTTTGTGTGTGATGTTCTCGATGTCATCCCACAAGTCATCTAGCCTTTGGTTGTTGGTATTCAATGCATCAAATCTATTCTTCAACTGGTCTCTAAATATCAAGGTCATATTTTGGCTCTCATAGACTTATTTTAATTTTATTTAGCTTCAACTTGCACTTGCATATGAGCAATTGGTGATCTGTTCCAGTCAGCTCCTAGCCTTGTTGTGACTGATGATATTGAAGTTTTCCATTGCCTCTTTCCATAGTTGATTTGATTCCTGTGCATTTCACCTGGTGAGGTGCACATGCATAGCCACCATTTATGCTGAAGGAATAAGGTATCTATAATGAATAAGTCATCAGTCTTGCAATTTTTTTTTTAATTGTGCTTTGGATGCAAATTTACAGAGCAGAATTTATTTTACATTCAACAGCTTGTGTACATTTGGTTTTATTCCCTGATTACCATTCCCAACCTTAACCAACTCTCCCTCTCTCCCTTCCCTGTGACCAGACCCCCATCTTTGTGCCCTTCTTAGTTATGTATTCGTGTCTGTCCAGCTTCCCTCCATATGAATGCTGCCCCTCTGGTACCCCATGGCCAATTGCTCCAAGGGTTGTATCTCTGTAGAGTAGGAGGGTAGATCACCCTGGTTAGGTGTTCTGCATGTTTCTACTGCTGGGCTGAAAGCCAGTCTTTGTGAGACAGTACTATCCCAGGCCCAAAATATATCCCAAGGCTGTAGTTTTGGGAGTCCCACCAGACTCCATCCAACCAGTAATTATGGACATTATTGTGCTTTTGAATTTTGTTCCATGTTTTTCCTTGCACTCTATCCAGGAACTCTAGTTTTGATCCCTTTGAGAGTGGTTGGCACTGGTAGCTAGGCACTGTCTAGTTCTTCTGGTCTCAAGGTCCATCATATCCTAGGACCAATTGTTTCCAAATTCTCTTAGTTTTCTTCACTCCTCTTCTGAAGTGAAGAGAAGTGAAGTGAAGAGGAGACCATTAGCTGCATCTTAGATGGCCACTCAAAAGCTTTTAAGACCCCAGTCACTACTCACCAAAGTAGGTTGTGGAACAAGAATTTTATAAATTCTGTTGTGCCAATTGAGCCTGGTGTCCCCCCAATACTGTGGTCCTGAGTTGGTAGACCAAGTGGTTCTCTCTCCCAAGGTGTTTGGCTGTCTCTGAGGGATTACTCCAAGTCCATCTTCTGTTGCTTCTGTAAGGAGTGTGGCTATTTTGTATCTGTGCAAGATTATCTTCAGCTAAATCTATCATTGTCTAGTGTATATTCCTGTTTGCCAAACCCCATCTGATCTTCTCAGTGTTC